CAACAACCTTTATGGCTGTGATTATAATCGCATTTGGGAATGAGTTATCTTTGTTAATGAGTTAATGAGACAGGGCAAGTAAATGGATGTTCTGAGTCAATCCCATTTGAAATATTTCCAGATCACTTTTTATCACTCCAAACCAAAACTCTGTATCCATTAAGATAAATAAAGATGCTATCAGATCAGCTTTGACTCATGACAACCTTACGTACAACAGAACAAAATGTTACCCATTCCTGCATCATCCTCACAATCATAGACGTGTTCAAGATCACTGCAGCTACTGAGCCAATCCATCTCACTGAAGGCCTTCCTCACCCTGACTAGCCCTCTATGTCACCAAACATGTTGTTTTCCTCCAGTGATTGATCCCTCCTAATGACATGTCCAAAGCAAGTGAGTCAGACAATGTTCTGCTGTGATCCATAAGGAATAGTAGATAGCTAGGTCTTTCCTCCTAATCTGTCTTAGTTTGGAAGTGCCACTGAAACCTGTCCACCATTGCTTCCAGCATTATAACAACATACAAGCCACCACACATGGACAAACTGACAGACATGCGGGGGCATTAAACAATAGCTTCTCATTACTCCCTTCTCCCAGCCCCTGGTAATCTCTATTCTACTTTCTTTCTCCATGAATTTGCCCATTCTAGATACTGCACACAATGTGGAATTATACACTATTGGTCCTCTTGTGTCTGGCTTATTTCATTTAGCATAATAGTGTCTTCAAGGTTCATCTATTTTATACATGTATCAGAACTTCCTTTCTCCTTATGGCTGAAATATTCCTTTGTGTGGATGTACCACATTTTGTTTATCTATTCATCTTTTGATGGGCACTTGGGTTGTCCAACTCTTGGCAATTATGAATAATGCTGCCAATACCTAGGAAGTGAAACTTTGGATTCTTAGATAGTTACTTTGGTTAGTGTTACCTGTAATGACTATAGAGACATTTTGCTGCAAGTGAGGGGAGAAAGGCCTGAGGCAAGAGCCAGACCAATTAAAGGAGATAACTGATCCAGAGGCTAGGGCTATGGTTATACACAGTCAAAGGCCCAAGGCCATATACATAGAATGGGAAGATAATAAAGCGAAGAGATGAAACTAGAATGTCTTGAAAAGAATTATGTGTTTTGGCTTATGTGTTCATCTGAATGTACTATGGATAGTGAATGTTCTGTTACCTATTAGTATGTCAGAAATGATTACTGGGTATGCATAACAGAGCGTCTAAGTCTGCCTTCAGCCAATACTTGATTGGATATGTTAAAAAGGGAAATAGAATTTGCCTAAAAAAAAACACAAGCTTTTGTTTCAAACCCTGTATGTAGAGTATAGGAGGCTTAGGTACAAAACCTGAGAACCACCCTGAACTACTGAGAGAACAGAAGATCTTCATTTAAAAACAGGACCTACATAGAAGAGGAAAAAAAAAAAAAAATGACTACTTCCTTTTTGAATTTCAAGCAAGTGGTTTGGCTTTGGGTGCATCAAGACAGTAAAGTCATAGTCAATGAGAGAAACCTCTTCCAGGATTGGAAGGCAGGAAGCCAGTGAGTAGTAGGCTTCTATGCTGCTCGCCTGTGGCCACCTGGGTCCACTTGAAGAGTAGAAATGGGGACAGTGAAACAATGAAGAAATGGGCTGAGTTTGGTACTCTTTGACCTAAGCCACAGAAGTTAGGGATGAGAGGAAGGGCTGGCTGGTCTGATGTACAAAGAGTTGCATGGAACTAGTCCCTGAGGACTAAGGATGAGAGAAAGAGAGAGAAGGTGCTAGCTGGTCTGAAGTAAAGGGAAGAGTGTGACTCCCAAAACTTGGCAGCTGGTACCTATGACCTAGCTGGGATGGCTAGGGCTGAGCTGACTAGAACCTAACCAAATGAAGAGAAAAATGTTTGACACTGAGCTGGTGTTAAATTGCTGTAATTTGATGGCTTACACCAGGCTGAACTTAGCTTATTTATGAATACAGATGTCCAAAGTTCCAAGCAGAACAAATGATTCTTCAGAAAGAAAAGAACATGCTTGTTTTCTCAGAATACTGGTTTTGATAGGGATGGACAAATTTGAAAATGGAAGGAGATAAAGACATGAAGTGGCTGGCTGACAAACTTTCATGGGTGAAGTTATTCTTAAAATGATGGTGAAGGGAATGTTAATTTTTGAAGTATAAAAGAGATATTGGCTAGAAAAGCCAGGGAGTGGCCTGTTGTGTAGTGAATGACATGGTATAGCTTTTTTAGCTATAGTCTTTGTAACTCCTACTTTAACATGAGCAACTGAGTGGCTGTCTGTTAAAGTCATCCACCTGGGGCAGCACTAAGTAATCTCCTGGGCAAGTACACCCTCTCTCAGACGTGCACAATTCCGATGTTGGGACTGGTTGGTTTCGCCACTCTGCCTTAGCTCAAAATGAGCCTCCTAGAGGCAGAAGGAATCTCTCACTGCTGGTTGAGAAAGACGCACTACTGAGAGGGACTGAGTGCGCTCCTGAACTTGAACTGTAGCCCAATGCTTCCCTAATAAACCCCATAATCTCTGAGTTCCGTATGGCCACTGCCACCAGAGAGGTGGTGGATGCCATGAGAGGGAGAGTTGGTGTCAAGTGATAAGAGGGCTGGATGTTGGCAGCACATCTGGCATCACAGAACAGGCCTTGGGCTGCTGATGGTGATTCATTCTGTCTTGCTCTTGTGTAGTTAGAGGAGGTCAAAAGATGCCACTTCCTTGCCCCTTTGGCACACATCTAGTAGTCAACAGGTGAGAGTGTATTTTCCTTCCTGCCACTACTATTAGTTCAAGCTTTTATTGTTTCTTACCCAAACAATTGACAAAATCATCTATCTTTTGGCTGTCATTCTGCTTTCACCTTCCATTCCTTCCCTCCATGACTAATTTTTCTGTAAGGCAAATATAATCAAGATAGATCTACTATACAGCTTTAAAACCCATTAATGTAGTAGTGGCTCCCCACTGCCTAAAGAACAAAGTTTAAAGTAGGCATATTCATCACTAAACATTCTGTTCAAGAATCATATTCTTTAAGAGTAAATTCCTGACACTCTCTTCTGTGCTACCAAAACACTTTATATAATATCACTATTATATCATAGTTTTATTATTATGCTTATATGTCCATCTCTCCTTTACACAGACCATGATATCCTTACAGAAAGGGACCATAACTCAGCAATCATCTTTGTACCTCCAGTGCCTAGCAAATGCTCAAAACGTGCTTATCTAAGTTTTCCTCCATATCTATTTCAGAATGGCTTTTCACTCCTTCCTAACTAACTTGCTGTATTTAACATCCCTGCCCATCATCTCCTCAGGTATTCTTTCTTCATAAATCATCTCCTTTTTCCAATAAACTCTTGATCATTTCCTTCTCTAATGCTTTTTCTCTTGTAGCCTACAAAAATGAAACATCTCTTCAATATTTTAAAATAAAATTCATTTCAATCTACTGTCTCCTTAAACTACCTAGGCCATTGCTACCCTTCCTCTTAACAGAATGGAAGTCTCATGTACTTGCTTACATATATGTTCTCAATATAATTTTCATAAATGGAGAAATTAAGGCTCAAAGAGACTTTGCCTAGAAGTACAGTCTTCTTTCGAAATAGTTACAAAAAGATTGCCTACCACACATCACGTAATTCAAGTGAAGGCAGAAGAAACTGCCTAGAAGATGAAAAAATGTCAAAGTGACAAGAGGCTGATGTGGCCAATTCATGTACTCAGACATCATGCAGAGCTATCATTAATGAGCTCTACCACATTTACATCATTAAAGAAGTTCTTCCCTCATCTTACTGCTACAAAAAAGATTTATGTATCTTTTACGATCATCACAGTCTTAGATGCTATGAAGCGCCCCTGGTTCCCAACAGTTTTCCATTCGCCACTTCAAGTCTCTCGTAATTCCCATGTTTTTTAAGCTGCTGGGTTCTATTATTACACTCCATATCCTTCTGCTACATCCTCATTTAACTTAAATTCATTTATTACTCTCTCTCTCTCACTGATTTTTGCTTAAACTAATATGAATGGATTTCTCTTCCTCAACCAAAAATCTAGACTATGAATAGCAGAAAGACAGCTCTTACTACATATAGTCAAAGGAGTTAGAAAATAAATCTTTTCAAGCGCTATTATATATAACAAGGCAAAAAATTCAGGGATACTATGTATAAATATAGCTTATAGAGCGCGACCTTTGGCTAACATAGAAGAGGGACCAGGGAATGGTTCTTACAGAACATGATTCTTGAACAGAATTCTGAAGATGCCTAACTTAAACTATGTTCTTTAAAAGCAGTGGGGACTCATGACATTAATGGGTTTTAAAGCTGTACAGTAGGTTCGTCTTGATTCTATTTCCCCTCTAGAAATGAATTGTAAATGGTAGCTCATTTCTGGGTTTTAAAAAAAAAGTCAATGTCACTATTTCATGCAGAGTAGTACTGGATGCTTTATAAACCTAAAAAATGCAATATGCTATCTCAGTCAGTCACCTTAAGAAGTAGGGGGGAATTCCTTTTTTTACAGCTAAAAATGTAGATGAAAAGTTACCCACGATCAAAAAACTAAGGTGAACAGCATATGTCAAATGTCTATATTTAATGACTTCTACGCTCTTTGTAATAGATAATGAGTCACATAATACCTTGGAAATAATCTCAATTGTAGGCACTCCATTAATGCCGAGTATCACCCAGTAATTCTGCCTCCAGTTTAAAACATCATGAGTCTCAAAAAGAACTGAAAACTAAGTAAACAGATACAAACTCACGTTTTTTCCATATGATCTCTGTTATTCCATCTCTTTTAAAGAATTAAATATAAGGTCACACATACAATGAACTCAGTACAAAATTCCAAAGAATCCCAAATTCAATGAGAACTACATTTTTCTTACTGATCTTGAAAACTTTAGTTAAGCAATCACATTTGCAGATATAAAAAGAAAACTCGATAAACTTACCATTTGGATGCCAGATTTCTGTAATGAATTTCATTTTAGGAGGCCGAAGAGGATAATCTTTTGGGAAAGTGAGATGAGCCTTAAAAACACCACCCTCACTGGAAAAAAAAAAAAAAAAGTTCTCGCCTGTAAGTTGACAACTATTAAAGCAACCATGAAAAGCAGATGGATAGTGCTACCACTAAAAATAAAGTAAGTGAGTTATTGGGATTCCAAGCAGTTACTCTTCTTACTAAACTCTTAAGAGAACTAGTGAAATGAAGAAGTATTAGTTTGCTAAAAAGGCATTCAGAGCAGATCACATTATTGTCATGCTACAAACCTTTCCTTCACTTCTCACTGCACTGATAAGAATAAAATTTACAAGGCTTAATATTGCCTCCAAGGCTCAAGTTATCCATTTCTCCATGTTGTTCTCAAACCACTTCTCTTCCTCAAACATACCAAGTTCTTTTTCACTTTGTGTATACATATTTTTTAACTTTTTACTGTAATTTGGTGAAAGTTTACAAAGCAAACTGTTTCCATTCAACAGTTCATACACATTTTGAGTTGTGACATTAACTGTAGTCCCCACAATGTAACTACAGTGCCCCCCACAATGTAAAAGCACTCTCCCAGATCCTCCCTGCGTTTACTGTTTCTAGTCATCCTTCTTTCCTGCCTTCTGAGCTTTATCCCTGGGCAACTGCTGTACTTTTGATCTTGTAAACTTATGCATATTTTGTTGTCCTAAATGTGCCATAAGATGTTCTGACTGTCCACTCATCCATGAATTTATTCATTTCATCATTTAACAAATATTTATTTAGCCCCTATGTGTTAGGTGTACAGCAGTCAACAAAATAGAAAACCTCTTTGGACTTCAGGTGTTTATATTCTAGTGATTCTCCAAAGTGGTGCTATCCAACAGAACCTTCTGCCATGTTGGAAATGTTCTCTATCTGTACTGTCCAATACAGTAGCCACTAGCCATTTGTCACATGACTGTTGCAACTAAGAAACTGAATTTTTAATTTTATTTAATTTTAACAGCTACATGTGGCTAGTGACTATTGTATTGGACAGTACAACTCATCTGGTTAGAAACTATTCTTGAGGAACTATCAAAAGAACAATACAATGAGTTTTATACATTGATAACTAAAGTCAGAGATCAAAGTCAGCTAAAAGGGGCAAAATGACTATGATCCTCCCCCTTCTATAGCCTTGGACCAGCTGTTTTCTATTTTAAATACCCCTGTCCCCTTGCCTTCTGACCATTATTCAGAACTCTGCTTAATTACTACCTCCTGAGAAACATTTTACCTGAATACCCAATTTAAACGATCAACTTGGTCTCTCTATCACACTGACCTCTATTTACTTCTTTATGGCAACAGCAATTCTCCTATCTGATTCTTTTTTTCTCCACTGGAACTTGGCATATGATCATGGTTTATTTCAGATCAATTTGAAATGGTATTTAAATGGCAATTCATCTCTGGGTAAAAAATTCAATGTCATTCATTGAACAAATGCATCACATACTTAGTATATAGAATAGTATATTGTAAGCACTGTTCCACTGTTCCATGCAACAGGACACAGCAATGACCTTAACACATTACGAGGTTCATGAGGCTTACATTCTGGAGGCAGGAGGAAAGTATATATCAAGAAAAATATCAGAAATAAGTATTATCTTGGAATGATACGAGCAATCTATCAGTAAGTGAAAAACGATCTATAAAATAAGCTTATCTGTCTCTAAGAAAAAAATGTGAGAGTATGTTTGTATACAAAAAGGAAAATATGTAGAAATATGACACCAATACATAATTGATCGTTAACTCTGGAGGGTAAGATTATGGAATCTTTTACAAAAAAACTTCCTGCTTTACACATTTCAACAGTTTGGATTTCTAACAAGTAAACATTACTTTTTCTTTCCTTTTTTAATTGTAAAAGTAAGATTTTTAAGTTTAAAAAACAGCAGATCGATAATACCAGATACTTCTGAATACATAGGGAAGGCCACTGGACTTGGAATGTAAAAAGGTGGTGAGCTTGATAACACAATTTTGGTAGAAGCAACAGGAAATACACTGTAAAGGATTAAAGAAAGAACAGAGTGACAAAGTAAAGCATAATGCATAGGACACTTTGTTTAAGAGCTTTTAACAGTTGAAGAAGATGTGCTAGATATAGAAAAATAATACATACACTTTAAGAAAGAAAAAAACTAAACTGTTTGCAAAGAGATGGGAAGGTGCTGGCAGAATGCCTAGAGATAGATGAACTTAGAAATGGGAAGAAAAAAGAGCCCTGGGGGTGCAATGGTTAAGTACACAATGGCCAATTGAAGGGCTGGCAGTTTGAACCCACCCAGCAACTCTGAGGGAGAAAGACCTGGCTACAAAGGTCTTTCATATAATGAAGATTATAACCTAGGAGACCCCATGGGGCAGTTCTACTCTGTCACATGGAGTCACTGTGAATAAGAGTCAAAAAAGAAATCAAGTATCTTTTCCTTTCACACAAGAAGAAAAACAGATTAAATGTTGTACAGATGTTCAGAGGTAGAAAGAAATAAAACCTGACAGTATGTGCCTGTTTTATAGCCTTGATTTTCGTAATTGATGAGGTTATCTACTGAAGGGGAAAAAACATGAAGGCTTAAGGGAAATGGAGTCTAAAATAGCTATTGTGAAGGGTGTATTACACTGATAAGAGATAAGTCTTTTTCTTCTCAGGCTGTTATCCCAATTGTGCCAAAACTGGGTTAGGATATATTAATTATACGGACTAGTTTTTCAAACCAAGCCTGCAAAATCAATTTAGCAAGTCACTAGCCAATTTTTTTCTTTTTTAAAAAAAGAGTAGAAAATACGGGAGTTGATCACAAGCGGTTTGTGCCACTTACAGAATCTGAACACAAATTTCTATTCATTAATAGATACACATACATGTATGCACTGGGTCAAAATATTTTTTATTACGATTGTAGTTAGAAAAAAAAACAGAAGTTTGAAAGCCACAAATCAGAACAGAACACAGTCAAGAATCTATGTAAAAGGACATCAAAATAGCTTCCACAAAGCTCATGCACTTTATTTCACTGATAAGCCTATTCTTTTAATAGTAAATTAGCTTTCCTAAATCTCTTTAATTTTAATTAATTTACCCATACCATTGAATCAATTTTGACTCATAGCAACACTATAGGACACAACAGAACTGCCCCATATGATTTCTAAGACTGTAAATATTTACAGAAGGAGATTGCCTCATCATTCTCCAGTGAAGGGGCTGATGGGTTCAAACTACTGACCTTTTTTTTTTGGTCAGCAGCCCAACACTTTAACCACAGCACCACCAGAGCTACTTTTTAATTAATTAGATCCATTCAGCAGTTCCATACTAGCTGACTGAAATCCCCATCATGAAAATGCCTTTCTTAAACTGTTTTCAATCTTTAAAATGTCAATTAAATTTAATTAAGAAGATTGTCCTAAAGGTCTAAAGCACACAATTTTCATTCTCCCTGATAAGACCTCACCCATTCAGAACTAACCATGCTATTCCTTACAGTTTTTGTCCCATCTGGGGATCCCTCACCTTCTATTTTACCTGTGAAACCCTGTTTTGTTTTTTCAAATGCCTAGCTAAGTAGTGCCCCACTTGTGGGTACAAACTTCCAGGGAACAGCCAAGTTAGCAAAGTGAAACCAAAAAACCCACAGGGCACAAAACACTGTGCATTAAATATTAACATGTCAACATGTTCACTATCTTTTTTCTCCAAATGCAAAAATATGCTATTGTGATAAGCAAAACGAAGTCTATTAAGTTTTGATGAATTCAAAATACCATTTCTTCCATTATTTATTTTCCTAATCAACAGATACTAATAGTATAATTACCAGCATGATGTTAAAAAGAGGTATCCAACCAAGAGTTTCCCATCTGAAAGGACTGGGAAGTCTATGTCTAATTCAAGGCTTTTTCTACGAGACCTCCCTTCCTGTTTCAAAATATAAATACCTAAGAAGGATCAGATCCTATTATTCTCTTCTATTTGTCAGATCCTATCATTCTGTTATACTTATTTAAACAATATACTGTATGCTAGGAGCTCTGGTAGCATAGTGCCTGAAGCACCTGACTGCTTACCAGAAGGCTAGCAGTTCAAACCCACCAGCCACTCCTCGGAAGGAAGATGGGGGCAATCTACTTCCATAGTGATACTGCCTCGGAAACCCAAGGAGGGGTCGCTATGAGTTGGGTCCAATTCAACGACACATAACAACAACAACAAATACTGTATGCTATCTTCTGAAACTTTGCTCAATTCTGTACTTCAATATTTATCCCTGGTTGGTATGTGTCTCTTGTTCATTCATTTCACATTCTACAACAAGTATCACTATTCTGATATTTGATTGCCTCCAATTTTTTTGCTACTATAATTACTAGATTAAACTGAATACTTTCTAGGCACAGGGCTTTTACCCCAGAAATTAAACTTCTAAGACAAAGTTTAAATATTTGTTCAGTCACATATGTAATAAAAATAGTATAGAGTTGGGGAGCTAAGCAAAGGCTGTCCCCAAAGCCCATGTTCTTAAGCACTACATTATAAACTACATGGCATTGCCACTGATCACTCAATTTGTAAGTAATCAGGTACCAGGCTCATTATAGAATATAGGGCTTGTGCCTGTATGTCTTAAGCAGAATTGTAAAAGAATTGTATAACTGCAAAAGATGTTAATCAGAGAGTTTGACCAGCAAACTCTTCATTTTCTGTATCTTCTCAAGGTAAGGAGATATTACAAAATATATACATATAACCTTAAGATTCTGCAAAAATTTTACACCACTGTCAGTGGTAAGAAACAAAATAATACGTGCTTCTTGAGTAGACTTGCCATCAGTAATGAAAGGTGAGTAAAAGATTTTGGGGGCGAAGGTTCACTATTTACTAATAAAATTTATAATTATATAGTGATATCCAAGTTTCCTAAACTTTCTTTTAAAACCTACTGCTGCTCCTATCTTAAAATTTTTATTTCTGTGGATACATGTGGCTATCCACACTGCCTGATAAAAAGTAGCTTGAAAACAGTAGGCATGTCGTATCAGTTTCAAACATCATACTTCAGAGAAAGACACCCTCAAGATCTATTCTTAACAGCACTAGAAAGATTCATTAATAGAAGAATAATAAAAATTTAATATTGTCTGAAGGTAAGTAAATGATTAAATTAATACTCACAGCACCTATCAGTCTCAAAGTGATGCTTGAATATAGTAGTTATTGATTGTTGTTGCTGTTCTTGTTGTTATGTGCCATCGAATCGGCCCCGACTCATAGCGAAATAGCTTGTAAAGAGTATGGAGTGCCCTCTAGTGATTAAATGAAGGCTAATGATACCACTATGAACTAGCATATCAGCTCTTAAAAGTATTCTAAACCAAAATCAAACTCACTGCCATCAAGTTGGATCCGACTCAAGGCAACCCCTCCTTGGCGAGGCAGTAGTATCACTATGGAAGTAGACTGCCCCATCTTCCTACCAAGGACTGGCTAGTGGGTTTGAACCACCAGCTTTCTGGTTAGTAATCAAATGCCTTAGGCACTATGCTACCAGAGCTCCCTAAAGTACCCTAGTACAGTATTATTTCTATTATTATATGTTGTTGTTGTTATGTGCTGTCGAGTCGGACCCGACTCATAGTGACCCCTCCTTGGGTTTCTGAGGCGATATCACTATGGAAGTAGATTGCCCCACCTTCCTTCCGAAGAGTGGCTGGTGGGTGTGAACTGCCAGCCTTCTAGTTAGCAGTCAAGTACCTTATGCACTATGCTACCAGAGCTCCTATTATTATATAAATGATGTAATTATTAAGTGGTGAATTAATCACTTAGGTTTGGGTACTATCTAACCCATGTTAATTTACTTTCAACCCTGTATCTCCTCTCACAGTTTGCCAGCCTCTGTGAAGTCCCTTCACAGGAAGTTACGCTAATGTTGGTGGGTTCAAACCATTAACTTTTTGTGAGGGCAGAGGCTTTAACCAATATGCCACGAGGGTTTCATTTAAACCTAAGTCACTTCCAGTAGCACTCTTCAAACAACTGCAAGATGGCCTCTCCCTTCTTCATTCCAACGAAAAATCCACTGACTTCAGTACCTGATTCTAGGTAGCACTGTAAAGGATTTATTTCTATACAACCTTTTCTTCTCCTCATCTTTCCTGTACATTTCTGACTACTTTCCTCTGTCTCTTTCTTAAACAGTGGTGTCTCTCAGGATCCTGCCCTAATGCATGTTCTATTTTCTGAGCAAAGCAAGCTGATTTCTCTACTTCCAGTCAACCACAACCCCAACCCCAAGTCCATTTTTTATAGTATAAACAAATATCTATTTTGAAATAATTTATTATTATTTTAAAAAAAATTCCTGCAGAAACAAAACAAGTGTGAACTGAAGCAAAATAAAATCCATACTTCCAAAGTTATGATAGTAATATGATGCTTACTTTAAAATACAAATTAACTGTGAACTCCTGATTTAAAATTCAATGGTTACATCCTGCCCTCAGGACACAGAATATACCTAATTTTCCAAGCCCTGTTTATACACAGCTCTCCTTTAATCCCACCTTCCCTTCTACTTCCCTCCCCCCATCTCTCACTGCCACTGTCAGAGTAACTGTCCAGTTAACTCTTGTTCTAGCTGTACGTACTGTTACTGATAGCTCAAAATCTGTCCTACCCCAAAACAATTAATCTAAGCCAAAGGTAGTGATTTTATCCACTTTGCCAGGTTCTGGGTGAGGAATGATTTGATTCTGACAATGAAACAAGAGGTGGAATCTGCTGGAGAGCTTTCAGGGGGATTTTAAAAAAAAAAAAAAAGGTTTCTACAGTCCCCAAGGAAAACATAAAACACAAGAGACTGCCTTCATTTCCTGCTCTGGATGATGTTCTGAAATGCTCAAAAACTGCTACAATAATTTTGCTATCAGTCTCAAAACAATAAATTTCCCTATTTTCTAAGCCAGCTGAAGTCAGATTTTTGTCATTTGTAGCTAAAAGCATACAAACTAATAAAGTAATTATTCTAACTCTTCAGTTTCCACTTTAGACACATCCCTTCCTTTAGGAAAAATTCCCTGACAATTCAAAACCTACCACACTCCACTGCATTCTCACAGCACCCCATGCCCATGTCCATCATGGGTATTATCCAACTTTGCTAAATGATTATGCAGTCATCTGTTTTGCTAATTACAGTATAAGCTCTTTGGGAGCAATGACTAGCTAATTCAAGGTCATATTCCCAGCCACTAGAAGTGTACTCAAAAAATACTTGAGAACTAAACGAATGAGTAGTGTAAATGCCAATTCCAAAGTATATGCTTTAAGTCTGCAACCACTGTAAATAAGAAGTTGCCAAAAAGAAAACCCTAGGCTTAAAATATCTTAATCTCCCTCTTTTCTGAGAGGTTAAAAAACAATTTTATAACTTTGGCACATGAATTTTAGAAAAGATACTTAATAAAAAGGAATCATATCCAAGTAATTTTGGATTATTTTAATGCCTAGCAAGTGCCTTAAGGCTTTGTTGTTAACAGTTATGTCAAAAGTATGTGGGGCGCTGGAGTTCAGCTCCAGCCCAGGTGCTCTATCAGGAAGGCACAGTGAGGAAGGCGGCCACAAGTTTTTTCATCAGCAAATACACATCCAGAGGCAGCTGCTCCAGAGGCATCCAGAGGACGCTTCTGCTATCCCCATCACAAATCAACAGATAGCGCTTTTTATGTATACTGAATGTCAGAATAAGTTTTATTGGTGAAAGAATGGCCCGTTAATAGCATGATAGCAAGAGGGTTAAAAATTGGTCTCTGGTGAAGAAGGCCTAAAATAAAAATGGACTAGCTAACAATATTTAGAAATATTCTACAGCACTGCATGAAAAAAGGGAGAGACATTTCAGTAAAGAATTTTCTTCTCTATTGGCCTATTAGTCAAAACTAATCTCCTGATTTCTGGGATATACAAGCCAAAAAAAAAAGTTATTTATATATGATTTCATCTTAAGATAGCTTTTCTGTGACTGGCACACCATGCAATCCTCAGCCTATATGACTATGAGACCAAAAGAACTAGATGATGCCCAGCTACCACTGTCAACCACTCGGAGTGGGATCTGTGTAGGAGATCCTGGATAGAAAAAAAGAACAATGTGGAACAAAATTCAAAATCATTTGGAGGAAAAAAAAAAAATAGAGGGGACCAGGTTTGCTGGTCTGATAGAACCTGTTGGAATCACTCAGACTATGGCCCCTGGCTGCCCTTCAAGTCTGGAATTGAACCCATATCTACGGCTTCCAGCCAAACAAAAGACAGGCATATGAGTTAAACATTTACCTGAGGTAGATACACTCCTTGGAGAGAACAATCATGGGACAAAGAAAGGCTGTTTATGCACAGACAGACAGCTCAGGCGGGGAAAGTGCATGGAGGGATGGACACAGGGAAGAGGTAACTATTGGGAGGGAGTAGGAGGGGAGCTGTTGCATTGTGGTAAATTGTAGTCAATGTCATGAGACAAAGTGTATGTGAACTGCTGTATGGAAAGTGAGTTTGTGCTGTAAATTTTCACCCAAAACACAATTTTTTAAAAAAAGAGCTTTTCTGTCATAAATTTAGTTGAGGTATTTAGACTATCTGAATTTGTGAAACTATTATATATTTAGGACAGTAACAGGTGTTAAGACTTTACAGCTTAAAAACCACCATACCAAACCTGGTGCTGTTGAGTCAATTCTGATTCATAGTGACCTTAAGGACAGAGTAGAACTGCCCCATAGGGTTTCCAAGGCTGTACGTTTTTATGAGAGCACACTGCCACATTTTTCTCCTGCAGAGTGGCGAGTGGGTTCAAACCACTGACAAGCACTTAATCTAACTGAACCATCAGGGCTCCTTCCTTTGAGTTTAAAGCAGAACATGAAAATCCTAGACATAATCAAATTTAATTTACTACAAATGGTACTGAACACAGCCATTTCATCTGCCCTATAAAAAATATTTAACGTGACAGTTTATCGAAAGTTCCTATTTCCATTAATTACAAGAGTTATACTTTGAAGATGCCACTTCCATTATACTTACTAAAGTGTATCTGGAGGACCAATAATAAGGACTTCCCATCGATAAAGATCATTGTCATCTATTAAACCTGCTGAAAAGCCTTCTACTGGATTTTTGTTGAGTTCTGTGGAAAAAGAAAAATTTGATCAAAACTTTTAAGCACATAATTTCACCCAACAGATAAATTATAGAATATAAGCATACATGCTATAAATTCTAAACTATTAAATATAGTTTGTGAGGCAAAATGCTACCCAATGGCCAAAACATTCCCAAACATGAGGAAGTCACATATAAAACATACAATGCAGAAGATGCACTACTAATGCCCTGTTGCTTGTACTCTAGTTTCTAGCCAACCCCCACCCTGAAAAAAAAAAAACACCTCACTGCCATAGAGTTGATTCTAACTCACAGCAATCCCCATTGGGTTTCTGGGGCTGTAAATCTTTATGGAAGTAGACTGCCCCATCTTCCTTCCACAGTGCAGCCAGTGGATTTGAACCACTGACCTTCTGGTTAGGACCCAAACGCCGTATCCACTGTGCCATCAAAGCTCCTTTTCCAGCCAGCCTCTTACTATCCTAGATATCCCTATAGTACCTGTAACAGAGCCTGTTAAAAAATGCAGATATTCAGGCCCATCTCCCAGAGACTCTGATTCAGAGGTACAAGAGAGTATCAGAAATTAAACCAGTACTACTGCTAATTCTTATGCTATAGTCCTTTGATCATGGCACTGGTAAAGTTCTAAGCTGCTAATCCAAAGGTCAGCAGTTTAAACCCACCAGCCGCTCTGCAGGAGAAATATGTGGCAGTCAGTTTTTGTAGAGACTACAGCCTTGGAAATGGGGGGGGGGGGGGGCCCCGCACAGTTCTACTCTGTTCTTTTAGGGTTGTTATGAGTTGGATTCAATCAGACAGAGAAGGGTTTGATTTTTTTAAAACAATCAGAAACACCAACAGAGCGCCTAATAATACCTTTTCATTGGAATTTGTTGAGCTTACCCAACCTTCATTTATGCTAGTATCTGCTTGTATATCATTTTTGAAGCACCCTCTGTAGTTAGTGTTCACGTGAGGCCCATTAGATTCTGAGCCGAGACAGAGCAAATAGAGGCCCCTTCCATCCTGCCTGTGTGTGTTGACTCCTCTGCCAGCCACAGATTCCAACACACAGAAGTGGCTTGATAATGACAGTTGGTTCTTACAGGAACAATGGCATCATGAGGTTTTTCTCTTCTAGAGGGAGTCCTCTGGCACAGATGGAGGACAATGCCAATGGGGGACAAGACAGAGGCCAAACCAGATCCTTAAAGGAACAGGTATATGAAGTGTGACAGTTCCTTGAATGAGACACGGAGGTTAATAAAGTTATGATCTAGTGACAGTAGGCAGATCAAGTGAGGATTTAACAGCTTTATGAAGGTATAATTGACATTCCATGAACTGCATATATTTAAATATACAATTTGATAAGTATTGATTGATAGATACACTCTTATGAAACCATCACCACAACTGTGATAAACCAAAACCAAACCTACTGCTATCAAGTCAATTCCAACCCATAACTACCACCATAGGGTTTTCCAAGGCTATATAAATCTTTACAGAAGCAGAATGCCTCATCTTTCTCCTTTAGAACAGCTGGTGGGTTTGAACTGCTCACCTTTTTGTTAGCAGCCCAATGCCTTAGCCACAGCGCCACCAAAAGCCCTAGAATCAGGATATTGAAATATGAATACCCATTATCAACAAAATTATCAATTGATTTACCTACCAAGGGAGCTAAGTGCTGACTGCCTCAAAATGGAATATACAGACAAAGCACATACAAGCGGGGAAGAGTAGTTCAGAAAGAACTTGTTGGGTGTATGAACAAGTTTGTAATTCTCATAAAATTCCTGCTACCATCCTCAAGGAGCTCAATTTAATGATAAAAGTAAGTGTAATACAACTCAGAGAGCTATAAAAGAGTGGTAAATGAGAAGAAGATAGGAATTTTTTGAAGAATTTTTTGAAGAATCAGAGGTGATGTTAATTCATCAACTGGAACTTAATACTTCAACATGCCTGTGAAACATGGTGATAGCGAAAGTGTAAGTTTATTCAAATATGAATTGGTTCTTTTTCTGCAATTTGAGGTTGTTTTTTTTTTTTTAAAATAAATCTAGTTTTGAAACAGTAACTTGTTTAAACTTGCAAAACAAAGACAGAAAACACAAGAAACATATTTTTATTTTAAATAGCTATTTTTAAACATAAAAAGGAAGTTACTGAAAATACAGAATTAAGATAGCAATTACATTGTAATATTACTGCTTCATTTATGCATGCAAACATTCCAGACATACTGGGCACTGGAAAAGAGCCGAATCAGAAACAAGCCCCAACTTTTACTCTCAATTTAAAGAGTGCGTGAAACACAGATAATCACAAGATGGGCAATTATTTTGCACACTGAGTTGTCTCATTTCCAACCTCTTTTTAGATGAATACTGTTACATTATGCAGATCATTTACTCCAACACTGTACACAAATTCTGCAACTTATCCAGGAATAACCCAGTTGAATCTCTATCCAGTGGAGTTATGCAAATCCAATGAGGTGGCAGAAATGTAACTGGGTAGGTTCTGAAATTAGCATATATGGTCAAAACTACCCTTTCAAAATGCCCTTATGCTTCTCACAAAGTGTATAACTGTTTTTTCACTTCTGTCAATACAACATAAATTATCACAATTTTTTTGCGTATTCCTCCATATTTCCTATAGACATGGCTGTATCCATCACTTAGGTAAAGTAATTGTGATGTTGAAGAATTTCCAACATCTCACTTTTGTCAAAGCTTTTGTCCCGCACAGATCCTCATAGGTTTAATGTACCAATACCATGCCTTTCTGCTCTATGAATGTTTCCTTCAAGGTCCAATTCAAGAACCACCCTCTCTTCTCCATGAGGTTTTTACTAATAATTTATCAAATAATCATCTTCTTTTGACTTCTGTTGACCTTCTACTAATTATACTTTTAGTTTGCATTATACTATCTGGAATTCATCATCAGCTTCTAATTCCCAGAGAGGTAAGCAGGTAATTACAATGCGTTCTAAATGCTACAACAACTGTAACTTGGGGGAGCACAAAAGAAGAGCACATAATACAATCCTAAGAGTCAGAAAAGACTTTTGAAAAGAAAAGGAAACATCTGATATAAGACAAAGGATTTGGGTAGGAAGACATGCAAGGTTTAGACAGAGGAGCATGTACAAAAACTTGAAATAGGAAGATCAGTGTATCATTGGAACAAACAACCAAATGATATCAGAAGTGGACAGCAAAGGACCTTTAGAAGCCATGTAAATTTGAACTTTTACAGGGAAGGCAATGATGAGCCTTTGAAGGATTTTGTGGGTTTTTTTTTTTTTTTTTAATAGGATGACGTCATGAGATTTACATTTTAAAAAACCAATCTTGCAATGTGTGAATGTCTTAGAGTAAGGTCATGCTGAACACAAAGAACCCAAAAAGGAAGGAAAGCTATTAAGTAATACTATAAAGTATAAAACAGGGATATTTAGGAGATAAAATCAATCGTACTGAACTTAGTTGATGTGGTAGTTAAGGTCAAATATGATGCACTATGTTCTGTGTGGAGCTCTGGTAGGATAGTGCCTAAGGCACTTAACTGCTAACCAGAAGGCTGAAGGTTCAAACCCACCAGCCACTCTTCAGAAGGAAGGCTGGGCAATCTACTTCCGTAGTGATACTGCCTTGGCAACCCAAGGAGGAGTCGCTATGAGTCGGGGCCGACTGACAGCACATAACAACAACATGTTCTGTGTATACAGGCAGTCCCTGAATTACCAGAGTCCTGCTCCTAAATCTGTAAATCTAATTGGATTTAACAGGGATAGTTTGTATTAACATCAGTTAGTGAGATGTTTGTCTTAGTATATGGTATACCTTTCTATGCATAAGTAGCATTACAACAACACTACCAAATATACGAAAACATTTTTAACATAATAGTAATAATAATGTTTTGATGCACCTCCCCAAGCCTGGGGTGGCCAAGCCTAGGGTGGCAAAGTGCAAGCTTGCAAGGAAGGGTGGTTCAGCTGGCAAGGGAACCCAGAACTCTACGGAGCCATGGGCTGGGGGGGGGTGCTGGGCAGTGCACGGGGCCCAAGGGCTTCCAAGCCCTCAGCCAGGTGCCGTAGGTGCGGTAAGCCAAAGAACAGGGCTCAGCGGCAGCCATCGCGGAAAGACACTGGGGGAGGGAGGAAAAAGGGGGGAGGAGAAGAGGAAGAGGCGGAAGGTAGGTGGAATAAACTTCCTGAGGTGCAGAGGCACTGGTGGAGAGGGCTGCCGACAGCTGTGGGAAGGACAGCCGTGGGAAGGGCAAGCAGCTGAGGACTTAGGAAGGTGGGCACTGCAGGAGACGGTCAGAGAAAAGTTCCCCCAGAGCAGAAAGGGACTCTGTGCTGCAGAGGCAGTTGCAAAAAGGAGGAAGTGGCTGCAGAGTACTGGTCAGTGAGTGGTGCTGTGATTAACCAGGCAGGAACACATCCTTCCTCCAGCCCAGATCCAGGGAGCCTGAAGGGAGAGTCAAGGCTTTACAGGGCACAAAACAGTAATCTCAAAGACCACAAAGCCAACTAGTCATTAGTACTTGATGTTAGTAAACCAGTTCCTTACTCTGATAACCAATAAAATTAACAAAAGATGACCTCCTTTCCTTTCGTATAGAAACTGTATCACCAAGTAATCAAATAAAAAAACCAAACCAAACTCACGGCCATTGAGTCAGATCCGACTCATAGCGACCCCTCCTTGCGTTTCCAAGGCAGTATCACTACAGAAGTAGATTGCCCAACCTTCCTTCCGAGGAGTGGCTGGTAGAGCGGCTGGAGGAGCAGCTGGTGCGTTTGAACCACCAGCCTTCTGGTTAGCAGTCAAATGACTTTAGGCACTGCACCACCAGAGCTCCTATAGTAATTATTATGTGATCATATTAAGTTTCTCTCTTTAGAAATACTCGAGCTAAAAACTGGGGGGAGAAGGGGTCATGGCTGAAACACTGCCATTTTGCAATTTTAATCTAGGCATAAAGACAGCC